TAATAATTAGTCAATACCACAGTCATATTATGTGTAATAATTGGTCAATATCACAGTCATATTATGTGTAATAATTAGTCAATACCACAGTCATATTATGTGTAATAATTGGTCAATACCACAGTCATAATATGTGTAATAATTAGTCAATGCCACAGTCATATTATGTGTAATAATTGGTCAATACCACAGTCATATTATGTGTAATAATTGGTCAATATCACAGTCATATTATGTGTAATAATTGGTCAATATCACAATCATATTATGTGTAATAATTGGTCAATACCACAGTCATATTATGTGTAATAATTGGTCAATACCACAGTCATATTATGTGTAATGATTGGTTAATATCAGTCATATTATGTGTAATGATTGGTTAATATCACAGTCATATTATGTGTAATGATTGGTCAATACCACAGTCATATTATGTTTAATAATTGGTCAATACCACAGTCATATTATGTGTAATGATTAGTCAATACCACAGTCATATTATGTGTAATAATTGGTCAATACCACAGTCATATTATGTGTAATGATTGGTTAATATCACAGTCATATTATGTGTAATGATTGGTTAATACCACAGTCGTATTATGTGTAATGATTGGTCAATACTACAGTCGTATTATGTGTAATGATTGGTCAATACCACAGTCATATTATGTGTAATAATTGGTCAATACCACAGTCACATTATGTTTAATAATTGGTCAATACCACAGTCATATTATGTGTAATGATTAGTCAATACCACAGTCATATTATGTGTAATAATTGGTCAATACCACAGTAATATTATGTGTAATGATTGTTCAATACCACAGTCATATTATGTGTAATGATTGGTTAATACGTATGCATATTAATAAGGTCGCGTGCCAGATTTACCTATACACGTGCAGGTAATTTAGAACATGAGAGTTTATATTCCTTCTAACGAATCGTGCTTTGTCAAAACACATTGCAAGTTTATATAACTTCATCATGATAATTTATATATTTATATGTATTCAACTGAATATCATATAAAGTGGAGATGGAATATTGTAAACTTTGATTTGATGAGGCAAAATACTTTAGTTTACGTTAACCCTTGACTTCATAAAACATTTTACTTTACAAAGAACTTTATTTTATACCTGGTTTTAGCTTTTTGTGACAACATATTTGGGTGTTTCTTTTTGTTCGATTTTGTGAAGTTATACATGTGAATGTTTTTTAGTAGAATCCTTATAACATGTGAATTGATTCTTCAGTATTTATTGCGCATATTTTGTCGTTTTTCCATATATCAAGTGTATTAAAGCGGGGGGGTTGTCACCTGCGCACGCGCTGGAATTCAGTTCCAAGCGACGATATCAACACACGCTAAAAACGCAGGTAGACGCCTGTTTGTAAACAATGACATGCTATTGCCATCTGACGCATGCGCAGGTGACGACTCCCCAGCTTTAAATGTTGTCGTTGTAGTGTTAGGTTCGGACTGCATACATTGGTAAATACCAACCATGAAGAAAATGTAACGAAACGCTCGCGCCGTAGATTACATATTGTATTGAGTATTGAAAAGAAAACACAAACATAGAAATTCCAAAATAAATTGAATGTTTATTTCAATCTGCTTGATATTATCACAGCCACAGAGAATATTAATAATATTGATATACGTCAAGAAATAAAAATTACAATAATACAAATGATTAGCTTTGAGACACTTGTGCTTATATTAAGAATTTGTTTTCTGTAAAAAGTTTCAAAATGTACGGTCTGTACAGATAATACGCAGCTCATGCTTAATTAGAGACATATAAAAAAAGTTGTAACAATTTATGTAAAACATTTTCAAAGCATTCGCTTACACATTATTTCTTTCTGTTTACTGCTTTTACAAGCAGGCAAAATAATCTCACAAACTTACAAAAAACTATAAGGCGTGGCAGAGTAAACATGCAATCATCCAATCGCTGCAACCGTTGGTACAATCACGTGATTAACATGGATGTGTTCCGCGGTTAAAGCATTGCGAATTGCCACTACTGAATACAATTAGTAAACAATGTATTTTTAGAATTCCTGTAATATATGTTTATAATGTCTATTTTAAAAAAGTTATTGATACTGCAACGTCATGTGAACCAAATGTGCGTACATGTTACTATTGTAACAATATACGTAACAATGAACGCCACACAATACGTTACATTATAATCATAATCAAATAAAACACAGCAACTCGTTATTGATATATACATGAATACAATCAAGGATTGAGGTATGCATAATTGTGATATGCAATGGTGATCTCGCGTGAATTAAAACAAAAACGCGTTAAGTGCGATAGGATCCCAAAACTACATTTCTTGAAATCATATTAAATGCAAATTTATAGCTTTGTGCTCATCTCATATAGTTTTTGATAGTTGATTATTCGCAAAGCATGATTTGTTTTTTTAAGTTTCCGTTTACGCTATTGAACATTTTCAAGGATCCACTCGTGTCGATTTCTTCCTACAGGCAAACAAGTTTTAAATTATTTTAACGATAGCTGAAAACGAATAGTTATATTTTTAACAATCTGATCAAAGAATAATGGTTCCTAATGTGTTACTCAAGTTCTTTAAGCTGACCGCGTTCTGTCGATTGACAGGCGAAGAAATTAACGAAAGCATGCATCAGCTGATGAAGTTTGTAACAATAAACAAACACAATTATTGACCTGTATTGACATTGATACAAATCGCCAATGAAAAAAAAAACTTCGGACACTAGTAACAGGAATGGAAAGACATCCTTTTCTATTTGTACGTCGGAAGAAGCCCTACATTTTTGGTATTACTGTGCCCAAAGAGACTGTCGACTGTCCATAGCATACACACCGACAGAAATAATTCCTGAAAACCTTACCTCATTATCCCTCACGGAGTTCCCGCAGTGCATTCGTGCAAGCTGTCCTCAAGTCGGTGTTCTCACTTCCTTGGCGATTTTTCAGAGCTATGCAGAAAATGATACCACAAAAAGGATATGTTACTGGAACGAGGATATACTTGCTCTATTACATTTATTACATATGTTTTGGGCGCAAATATTTAAAACACCAGTCGTCATGTAGCGCGAATTTCGATTTCGTGCGCAAGGTATGTTGGAAAAAACACAATTAAGTCGCCCTCAAGAAATCAGAAATTTCAACTTTTTAAAGGATATTCACTTTGATTTGATAATAACACATTTGCATACGCTTGTTTCAGTGGATTTCACTGATTTTAGAGAATAAAACGAATTTTCTGTTTCGGCAAAAGTAAAACAGAATTTAATAAAGAAACCACTATTGGACCCCAAGTAATTCATATTCATATTTCAGAATCTATTGATCATACTGAACTTACCTTCTACACATCCCTCCTCTTTCCGGATACGATCTTTGTTATCATTATGTGATGCTAATGTCCAAATTGCAGTAGCCGCTAAACAGTGTTCTTCCGTTGAACGTTTGGATGCCAGGGTGTTGACAAGTAAAGGCAGTACGCCCTTATTCACTAATTTGACCTAATGATGTAAACAAATAATACAGAGGCCAAATAATAACCAAAACTTTTAATAGAAGTCATGTATAGGGGCTATATATTAGATTATCTCAATCCTTGGGTATTTTGAACGGAAATGTTTATATAAGCCGAAAGAGCCAAAACGCTGGTAAAGAATTCGTCTCAATTCAGTATATTATTATCATTTTCTACGAAAGAAATCAACCCAACCACGAGTGGATATCACCCCCACCATGCTGGTATCATTTGATACCAGGTAGAGCAATCCGCTCACGAGTGGAAAATCTCCCTACCTTGTTGTTAACATTCGCTATGCGATATATCAACCCACCCACGAATGGACTCCTGACCTTGTATCTCTTCACTTTGTTTCGATCAGTTGCTTCGAGATCGTACAACATCAACCCACCCACGAAAGAGTATCTTGTTGGTATCATTTGCCACAAAATACTAGTAGATCCACCTATGCACATGTTGGGTGCTACCTTACCTTAATACTTTCATCCCCTTTAGGATCTGAGTCGACTTCCTGAAGGGAGTAAACCAAAATAAGGACGGACTGTGCTTGGATGGCAGCATTTTGGCAATCCAGATATTTGGATAGAATTTCTTCTGCGTTTGCTTCTCGGAAACGGTGCCCGTTATCCGAACAGTTACGAATAGCACTGAGCAGAATCGCCAGGTTAGAGCGCATTGCTTTGTCAGCATTAATTGGAGTGGAATTTTCAGTTCCAGTCAGTTTATTTGATGCGTATTCAGGTTGTTCGAGCTGGGATAAGAGTATTTCTATAATTCCATATTTTCCGATTTCCCGGCACATTCTCGGAGAGCATTCAGCTGCGTGCCAAAGTACCACCTTTGCGTAGTCAAAACTGCTCGCAGCACATATCTCAGTCGGATCTTTTCCTGATGGTTTTGACGCATCCAGTACCAGGTGGTAGTTTTTCAAATTATGCCACATTTTTAAAAATAATTGTGCATAATTTAGTTTAATCAGATAGTTACTCTTTTTGATCGTAGCTTCTTTGTCTTTTGGGTTTATTTGCTCTACCATTTCCTCTAAAATACGGAGAGTCTGGTGGTCGGCATAGTCACTCGTGTTGTTTAAATCAGAGATCCACTTATCAATTTCTTTTTTCAGTGGCACGTCAGCGTAATACTTGTCATCAAACTTCTCTTCTTCACCGTGGATTCCATCGTGGTCATTCGATTTGCTGGCTTCGTGCCCACGAGGCACGTTTTCGGCAGGGTACACAGTTGCACTGGCTCCGCAACCCATTATGATTCTGTGGAAAATATATTCAATTCATTAGTTCTGCAGAGAAATAAAGTTAAAGCGGGGGAGTAGTCACCTGCTCATGCGTCAGATGGCCATAGCGTGTCATTGTTTACAAACAAGCGTCTACCCATGAGCCTTGGCGTTTTTTGCGTGTGTGACTCAATTGGGACTCAATTCCCGCGCGTGCGCAGGTGACGATCCTCCCGCTTTAATTTTTAGCTGTTCAAAACACTGTTGCTAGGCATATTATCCACACAAGCAAGGTATCATCAGAACCAATGTAACGAGTGAGACAGGTTAAACAGTTGACCAAAAACAGAAAATAGAGAATATATCTGGGCTGCTAAAGTTTAAGCAAGGTAATGGTTGTGCCAAAATGACTGGCATTTTGTATGGCTGTTATAGACGTGTTTGTCCCGTGAGATATACCTATTCGATTAATTTATAATTTAATATCTCATATGCTTTGTAAGCGCGTCTGGGCATGCAAAAGGTAAGTATATGGTAAGTGTACAGGTATTTAGTGGGTTTCGAGTTAGCAAGAACTAGCCTCGTACCACGACCACTACTAAGAGTGATTTGTACTAGGCTCTATAATTACCTAACTAAGATACCTAGGGGAGGTCTATAATGTGTTTGACCCCCCCCCATATGATTACATTAAGGTAGAGATGCAGTTTATTTGGCATGCTTTTTAATTGAGTAATTAGACAATGAAGATGGTATTATATATCCAACATGTTATATATTTTCTGAAAGCTTATTATACAAACTTTGTAAAACTTGTCTTTATTTCAAATATCCAGAATGCGTTTTTGATTTTGGGTCAAAAATATGCTTTTTTGGGCAAAAGTGGTTTAAAAAAATTTAGCTTAAAAACAACATAAATTCGTCTACATTATTGCTAAATTTCACAAAGACAAACATGTGTCGATTTTTTACACGCGTTGTATACGTCGCTATGGGTTTCCCCATCAACACCACGTGGTGCGACAAGAGGCATGGTAACCCACAATTATTATGCATATATTTTGTATTGTTCTAGGTCGCACATGTATCAAGTTTTTTTTGACATTGTAAAATATTTTTTTTTTCTTAATATAATGCGGAGGGCTTACAAAACAAAGTATACTGAAAGATAAAAGCTGGTAAGATAAGAATACAAAAACGGATGTAACACTATGAAAATACATTCAATAATATATAATTATGTATTAATGGTAATTATATTAAATTTAACCATTTATCATTATGTTTGTCCAGTTTATTTTGCCTGTTTGCGATGTATTCTTCCATACGTCGTGTTTGCTGATTTAATAATTGAAATAATTGAAAGGAAGGTTTGCTCTATTGTATTTTACATTGATATAGTTATTGTTTTCCAAGGATATACAATAAGATGGTTTAACATTTTTAAGAAATCTGAGGAGCCCAGTATTATTTGTTGGAGAGATAGGGGTTCTGTTGAAATCATCACTTTTCGAAACGCGTTTGAAAAAGCTCTCCAAAAGGCCCGAGAGTACGTACAGTAATAACACAGATGATCTCTGGTTTCGATTTCGCAGCGACACAGAAAACACAATGGATCACTAACTTTGGGCGACTTCATTCTGCATAAATCACCACTCGTGTAAAGAAATCGATGTAGTAATTTAAACTGAGAATTTATAGCTTTGGTATCTATTGTGCTCAAAAACGGAAGAACGTAATACTTGGCAAGATCGGACCACCGTGACGTCAGATTAAATCACAAAATAGCCTGAAGCTATTGGTAACTGGCTGTTTATGCATAATAGCATAAATTTTAATATATATTTGCTCAGTTTTTTTATAATGTGATGATTAATCCTAAAATTGTTGGTGGAAAGTTGAAAGGTAAATTATTATGCAAATTGGTGTCGTAATTATTATGGATGTATATCCAAAATTAATTAGATCGTCGAATTGTCTTAGGGTATATATCAACCAAAATTCATTGAAATAAGATATAAGTACATGAGATATCGCTGGAAAAGCTTAAAACTCACTAGTTATTATGCAAATAAGATATTTACTGCACAGATTTTAATGTAAAACTAATAAGGTCTGTAAAATTAGCTAATTATCATACAAATTAGATAATTAATATGCATGTGGATTTTAACCAAAACCTAATCAAATCTGCGCAATGGCCCAGAGCATCTATGCATCAGGTCTCATCAAAAACCAACATATCTAGAGATATTGACGCACTAACTGCAAAGACTCCTATTATTTGCTTCGCACACGAGAGTCAAAAAATTGCTGCCAACATTGTATGACCTGTTCACAACAAAATTGTTGTTTATGTGGTTGGTATGGACGTTTCTGGCTGCTAAGGACATAACCGCAAGCAAGTTATCACCAGAACCAATGTAACTAGTAAGACATAAGTTTACCAAAAGCGTCATAAAATAGAAAATATATCCTGGTTGCTAAAGGTGAGCAGGGTATCGGTTGCTAAGAGCCAAAATGTCATTTCATATCTTTATACCACCTGACCTGTAGACTGGTAATTTGTGTGGTTGTTATGGACGTGTAAACTTGTCCTATGGGACCCACCTGTTTTATTAATTTATATTTTAATGTTTCACATCTTATGTAAGAGCGTCTAGGCATATTGCTAAATATGCTTTGTAAGCGCGTCTGGGCATGCAAAAGGTAAGTATATGGTAAGTGTACAGGTATTTAGTGGGTTTCGAGTTAGCAAGAACTAACCTCGTACCACTACCACTACTAAGAGTGATTTGTACTAGGCTCTATAATTACCTAACTAAAATGCATGGGGGAGGTCTATAATGTGTTTGACAAGCAGAGCAGATACCCCCATATGATTACATTAAGTGACAACGTCATAAATTCCGTCTACCTAATTGGTAAAGTGCAGCTTAAAACGCTAAATTTCGTGAAAACAAACAGGTGTCGAAATTTCACACGCGTTGTATACGTCGTTATGCTCCCCATCGAACACCACGTGGTGCGACAAGGGGCATGGTAACCCACAATTATTATGCATATATTTTGTATTGTTCTAGGTCGCACATATACCAAGTTCTTTTATAATGTAATGATTAATTCTAAAAATATTGGTGGAAAGTTGAAAAGTAAATTATTATGCAAATTGGATAATTAATATGTATGGATTTTAACCAAAACCTAATCAAATCTGTACATTAGCCCAGAGCATCTATACATCAGGTCTCATCAAAAACCAACATATAGTTCTTGAGATATCAGTGGAACGGACAGACACACAGACATATACCGACGCATTAACTGCAAAAGACTCCTATTATTTGCTTCGCACACGAGAGTCAAAAAATGGCTGCCAACATTGTATGACCTGTTCACAGCCACAACAAAATTGTTGTTTATGTGGTTGGTATGGACGTTTCTGGTTGCTAAGGACATAACCATAAGCAAGTTATCACCAGAAGCAATGTAACTAGTAAGACATAAGTTTACCAAAAGCGTCATAAAATAGAAAATATATCCTGGTTGCTAAAGGTGAGCACGGTATCGGTTGCTAAGAGCCAAAATGTCATTTCATATCTTTATACCACCTGACCTGTAGACTGGTAATTTGTGTGGTTGCTATGGACGTGTAAACTTGTCCTATGGGACGCACCTGTTTGATTAATTTATATTTTAATGTTTCACATCTTATGTAAGAGCGTCTGGACATATTTCTAAATATCGGAGTCGCCCTTTGTTTTCAGTTTAAAAAAACATCGACTGTTGTCATACAATGACCTAAGCTGGCAGCTAGCAACTGTAGCTATGAACAAAACAACGTATCGTGTTTAAGTAGCATGACCAATTCTTACTTTCGATATTATATGTTGTCCATATGTATTTTGATTTCAATGAAATATTATCTTAATGTAACTGCACTTACCTTAAACTGTACACGGTAAGTATACAAGTATTCAGGAAGTTGTGTCTAACAGGTGATATCAGCGACTATAGTCCAACTATTGTTAGATTAATTGGTCATAGATTAAACATTTATTTTACCTGTTTGACGCAAAGCAGACCCACGTGACCAGAGCCCACGGTACGAGGTTTTACCCAGAATTCAACACGTTCTGTACCAACGCATATTGCTATGCGCAGAACTGAAATTCTGGCATCGTTCTGCGCAAAAACCGTTTTAGCGCTTGAGTTGTTTCCGGGTTAGCCTTTCATTAGTCTGGTTCCCTGCCCCATTTCAACGCTGAGGGCGGTTTTAGAAAAGGGTCAGGTACGGGGTATTACATCCAAGGCGGTTATTGGTAGTTACGTACGGAACATCTGATTCGTCACTGAGACAATTCAACATGGCGGCTTCCATGGACATGGAGTTTGTTATGAAAACAAAGATTGCTTTAGCACATGTAAACGCAAACAGTCATTCATGTTACACATATTTAAGACCAAAGCAAGTTGATTGTTTGAAGGCATCCACTGATAGTGATTGTATAGGCTTGTTGCCTACCGGTTATGGAAAATCACTGATTTTTGAGTGCCTTCCCTACATGTCAGCTTCACACAGTCCCAGGACAGTGATCTTGATCTCGCCATTGAATGCTATTATAGAAGAACAGTCTCGTAGACTCGGCGCAAGGTCAGTGCGGTTAAATCCGGAGTTTGACTGTAGTTTGTCCAGTTTCATTAGTTGTGAGTATTTGTATATACTGTCTCACCCAGAACACATAATGACCAAGAAACTCTTCGCCGTATTTCGTGGCGAC